CTTTCGCATAACTTATAGAGAGAGGAGGTCAACTTTTTTCCTCCTCGTTCCTCAAAAGAATTTTCGGTTCGGCTACATTTTGACTGCATATGAAAACTTTAAAATAGGGTATAGTGGATTACCGTAATTAACTACAAAAATCGCTTTTTTACAGCGTAATTGACTTAACGGATTGCAAAAGTTTGCAGGAAGATTCGGCGGAAGAAGAAGCGCTTGAAACAGTGGCCTAGTCAATTTACAGAGCTGTGTCAACTGTAGAGCCACTGAGTAAGCACTGGGCATGAGTACCGAGAAGCAGCTCACAGACGCTGGGACACTGGACATTGAAGAGGGCAAGGAATTGGGCCACAAGTCAGCCGGCGAACACTCGATCCGTAGCGCTTCGCCAGAGATCGAAAGTACCCAGGAAACGATAAATTCGATGGTCCTCGACGGTGGCGGCGATGACCTGGTGATCATCGATGATGGCGGTGCCGTGGCTTCGGATCGCCAGCGTGCAATTTCGGCGATGATCCACGAGATGGCAATGCTTGCAACGGCAAAGCAGGAGAAAAGTGAGACAGAGACCGCGAACCCGCCAACTCTGAACACCGGAATCACAGCCACCGACGTGACCGCGGAGCTACCAAGCATTGCCTGCACCGCTGTCGAGCGTGAAATACCGATGACGGCTCCGGCGTTTTCGGATACGGCCTCAACAACGACGACCAGCGAAACAAGCGACACGAGCAGCAACAGTAGCAACAGCAGCGAGGAGACGTCATCGCAGTCATCGGACGATGAGGACTCGACCACCGAGTACACCATGAGCTCGAGCAACACCACTGGCATCGAGGTGGACAGCGACCAGAGCACCGAACCACAGAGCTCGGCAAGCTCCCAATATTCAATGATCAAGAGTTATGTCGAAGGGAACACGGATTCGGAATACACCATTGCCAAACAAGCTGACGACAAGAAGAGCGCCGAGATGCGCAACCAAATTGACACAGCAAAGGTTCAATTTTACATGAAATGTTTCATTTCTCGCTACTGCTGGTATCTAATCACATCCCACGACTCGATTCGCGGACATCAGAATTGCTAGCAGCCTAGGCAGA